TTGTGCAACCTGTGTATATAAGTCTTTGCCCAAAACCCCTTTCTCCAGAACAGGAGTAGGCTCAGGAATATTCAGGGAACAGAAAACAGATTAGATGTCCAAATATTTTCTTTTAAGTAACATATTTTTTTAATATATAGCCTGAATAAATGTTTCCATCTATATTGTACCATTAAAGAAAATCAAATATGAAAAATGTGTCTTTCTGGCCAAGCCACGTTATCATTTTAGAATTAATAGTTTTCTTTAATATGATAAGTATTTCAGAGCATGAAAGTTGCATAATGACCAGGTCTTTAAAGACTGGGTTTTTTAATCTACCAAATGTCAAACAGAGATATTTGCCATGTGGTACAAAGTTCTACTAAGAGTTCTTGAGAAAGGAGAGATTAAATTTGCTTCCAAGGTCTATTCATTCCTATAGCTGCTTCTCTATGCAGGAGTTCTTCCTCTTACTAAAACTGCTAGCAAGGTTATGGTCATACACAAATTAATAACGCAGTGTTGAGCTAATATATTGAAATAACTCAAGAGATAACACAAATATACCTAGAGGCTGAAGTTATGCTTATTATTTCAGCTGCCAACGCTTCCCTTTTTCCTTTTTTTTAATTACAAAGAATATATTTTGGAAAGTTCATGAAGTAAAAAGTTAAGGAGGAGATGAGAAAGGCTATTTTAAAAACACTCCTGTACACCAACCAGCATTTCACATCTTTTTGTCCCTGTCTGTGCCAAGGGCCACTTATTAAATAAATTTGTATAAACTCCCTTTATCTGATATGGAATTTTCATTAAGCAAATACTTCCCACTTGGATGTTTCTTTCTTTGTCTTACTTTTTTTCTAGCTATGTATTAGCAACTTCTAAAGGAACTGCGTAAAGAAATAAAATAAAAATCCAGCTTAGCATGATGTCCTTGATTAGGACCTGTAAAAAGAGGAAATTAAGGATGACAGTGACATCTTGCTACTCTATATTCAATTAAGACTGGCTTCTTTGTGGCTATGGTTCATGCAGGACATGCAGTTATCTAATACAGAACAATTCTGACAGCAGAACAATTAGAATGCAAAGCATAACTTAAAACAGGCTCTGGCAATACGTTTTTTCCTTTCCTTGTGGCATCTTCAGCAGACTTTAAACAGAAATCTTGAAATCATGTACTATGCTGAAAACCAAAACTTGTATTCTGAACCCAAATACAGCTTTTAAAATACTTAATGAGGTGAAAATTGGATACAATAAGACTGAAAAAAAACAATTGGAGAAGGGCTTTGGTGCCTACAGAAAATCCAAAGAAAAATAAGTGCTGTATTTAAGCATTAAATTCTAAAACTGACCTCTGTTCTGTGGTGAGCTCAAGCCAGGCCCTTATGTCAGTTACTCAAGGTGGGCAAAGCTCAAGTACACTACCAACAGTATTAAATCTTGCATGTCTCCCTTTTTTTGAATGACTCACTTCTAGAGAAGACGGTAGGAATCTGGCAGGATTTTCCTGCCTAGCAATAATCATCACCCTTTCTCCCCAGCTGGTCTGCAGGGCTTCCTGGCGAGGCAGCCACACTGCAGAGTATAGCCCAAAGTCAAGTCACATGCAGACTAAAATACCTTTTTTCCTACACATTTCCACCCTGGGGTTATTTTTTCCTCCAGAAACACATTTTTAAGCAACTTTCTGTTTCACTGATGATAGCTCAGGTACTTCAGTGGCAGTCTGAATGGCAGTGGGAAGGAAACCCAATGCCCAAACAAGCTCCATCTCCGGAAGCCTGAGAATTGCCTCTGCCAAGGGCGAGGTGAGTGTACTGGAAAACATCATTCTGGTTTGGCCTTATTATATTCATTCCTGCTGTTGGCCACCGTTAGAGACAGCTTGGTGCCCTAGACTGATGATTGATTTTGGGACATTCTTACATGCTTTTGCTGAGCTTCTGGACTGTGATCTAACCATCTACTGCAAGGGAGAAAGAGTTAAATCCCCTTGTCTTTTCCTTTTGCTATACTCGGTATAATTTCATCCCTCCATAACTGGTAGAATTTTCAGAATTCCCAGCAGTCCTATTCTTTGTCCCAAATTCTGTTTATGTTAAATTCTTTATCTCTCAATGAAAATCTCAATTTTTAATTAAAAAGAGAAAAATATACTTAAAAGAGAACATCAAGTCAGGCTGTTGGATGTTATCCAGTGACAAGAACTGTGGAGATTTTTTGGTCATCTCAAACCCAGCCAATTAACAGGCTACAGTGACAAGCCAACGAAATACTTCTAGAAATTCTCTACTTACCCTTTAGTTTGAGGTCCACATTGTGTCGCAGCCAGGGATAAACACCATAGTTGGACATATCTTCAGGAATGGGGTTATTATATATCCAGCCATCACATGCAAATCGATAGAAGTTCTCACATGGATCTACAGATTGATTTATCTTGCTCAGGATGCCAGCAGCTGTAAAAAAAGACACCACATAGATTTTGTGGAACACTTTTTCCTAAATAGAGAATTACAGAAGGCTACAGTCCAGAAATTATGATTAATGAGAAACAAACAAACAAACAAAAACGACAAAATGTCTGCAATAAATCTTCTTGAGTGCCATACAGCAATGATGGCTGAACTTAGCACTACATGAACATGACCTGCTGGAGCCAGATACCTGAAGACAGGCTCTCCATTGTTGCCATGACAGAATTAATTGCCTGAGGAATTAGTAGTGTTACATATTAAGTTGATTGTGATTAGCATTTCAGTAACTATGCAGTGTTTACCTCTAGTTGAATACTGCACAAGCAAACAGATCAAATTCTGATCTACCATACACTGGAAAAGACTACTGTATTTTCAGCTCTATTTTGTGATTGCTTCCTTACCAGTTGCTATTGTCAGTGAAAGAGAGGTGGTAAGAGAGAGATCAGTCTGACAGGCCCAAGACTCAGTAGCTTTGCATCATAAAAACATCAAATAGTTTGGCTTGGAAGGAACTCTTAAAGGTCACCTAGTCTAACCTCCTGCAATAAGCAGGGACATTGTCAACTAGACCAAGTTGCTCAGAGTCCCATCCAGCCTAACCTTGAATACTTCCAGAATGGGGCATCCACAACTTTTCTGAGTGACTTGTGCCAGTGTTTCACCACCCCCACCATAAAAATTTTCTTCCATATAACTAGTCTGAATCTACCCTCTTATAATAAAATCATATAAAGTGTGTGTCAGGTCTGTACAAAATCATCTCTGTGCTTAACAGTACACTTGCTAATTTTCTGATAACTGGAAAGGAAGCAACAAATTATACCTGAAGGTCTAGTCACTCAACATTTTTTTCCTATTAAAGAAAGGAAAAATAATCCCTATGGGAAACTTTGAGTCAACCTAGTTTGACTAGTATTAGACCAAATTAAAATCCAAATTTTAATTGTACAAAATAAACAAAACAGAAGCAACTTTAACAGTGACTTTTTAAAAAGTTTGGTGTTGTTGTTCTTTCTTCCTCATTAATTAAGCTTTCTGAGTAATATGTATAATGGGAAAAAATAAATGGTATAAATACCTCATTAACATACTATAATCATGATATAATTGAGATTATAAAATTGCTGCTTACCAGCTTCAATGCATTCTGCAGTCAAACAGTACTGTTGCTTCGGATGAAACTTTATGAGACCTTGGCTAACTGCAAAATGGAAAACCATAATGAGATCATTTGCAATGAATTTTGACAGCTGCAGTGAAATGTTGTGTACTTGATCATTCCAATATCAGTGCAGCCTCTGGTCCCGGTGCTTCTCTGACTTAGAAAGCACTTAGAGCATTAGATTTAGAGCACTTAGAATGTATATTAAGTAAATATTTAGAATGTATATTATGTAAATACTGCAGCTTGTACAAATAACTCCCCCCTCCTAGTCCCGCTTTCTCCTTCCCCCTCTGTGCTCACAGGCAGCACAGAGCAAGGGCTGCCTCTGCACAGTGCCTGGAGCAGCATCACTTCAGCCCTACTGACAGTGAGCACCACATCATGCAAACAATTCAGCATTGTTATCATCCTTCAGAGCTTGGAAACACAGGAGGATAGAATGGGTTAGAAGGGACCTTAGACATCCTCTGATTCCAATGCTCTGCCCTGGGCAGGGACTTTCCACAGGACCAGGTTGCACTTTCCATGGTTGGAAATGAAACAGGGAGCAGTCTCCCCACCCTCTGCAGGGTTTCCACATCTCCCCTGAGCTGCAGGGCCCACACTGCCCTGCAGCAGCACTGCCCAGCACAACCCAGCATCAACAGGATATTCCCAGCGTCTCCTAATTCCAGCCTGGAGCAAAGCAGATTGCAATGGGCACAAGGATAGACGTGCTTTATAAGGCACAACCCAGTTTCTGTCTGAATTGTCTCCCAAAAGTATTGTGATTGCATTTGCTTCCAAAAGCCTTGCTGAGAAGAACTGTGAAAATGTCAGTTAATTTTGCTCGTATTTTAAAAACATGTATTACAACTGCCACTGAAATTTAAGCACAGGAATTGCTAATTTCAGACACTGCTCTCAGGCAGCAAATATGGAGATAATTGATACTTGGGATTAGGAAGGGAGAATCCCATGGGATAGGTGAAATAGTTCTCATTAGATGTGCTCAGTAGGCATAAAGAAATGTCTCATTATATCCATTATCTTAATAATATAGTCCATGGAAAAAATAAAAAAAGCAAATAACACTAAGCAAAAAAAAACAACAATGGAATATATTATGGTACCTTAGCTTTAACAGTGCTGATAGTTCTAAAGCATTTTCTGCTGTAGTTACATCTTGTTTCAAAGTGATAGAAAAATATGAAATATCATTTCAGCCCAGGAATTTTTTTTACAAAAAGTCCTACAGCTAGAGTTGAATAGTAAGCTGTTTCTTCTCTTCCAGTCTCACAGTTTTAATGGCAATTAATGACAGAAATAGCTGGATTTCAATCCACATTTCTCAAAAAAATGGGAATGTAAAACTATTTCTGGACAGCTTTTCCACAGCTTGCATTGGTTTAGTGAAACACAACACCTCAAACACCTTTGTAAATTAGCCAAGAAATACACAAGATTCTGAGACATACTAAGGTTGTAATTGGAATATTGAAGAACAGGAGAAAATAGAGAAGTAGAGCTCTCCAGAATATGATTTTGAGCTACTACAAAGATGAACTACAAATAATGGATAATGACCCTTTTAATTAAGTGCTGCACTCCTCCCAGCTCACCTTTATACATGATTTTAATTTAGCCCTTTAGAATCTATCCAGGTCTTGAATGTTTGCTAGACTTTTTTTCTTAACAAAGCAGAGAAAGGAAGGAAAAGGCCAGACATCATTTCATGCTTAATCTGAAGCAGCCCTTGTGCTTTTGATACTTATAAACAAACACAAAGGACCATTTCAACTGGGAAACATTTTATCATTTTTATTATAATATTATATATATATATATATATATATATACACACACAATTTTATCATTAGAATAAATTTTTGGCAGTAACATTTCTATTTTAATTAACAGCTAATTTTGACAGAAAAATCTTTGCAGTTTTGCTCTCTTGCCTTTTTATTGTTAAGATAACTATTCATGACATTATTACTTAGAGTCATGGTTATAACCCTCAGTGTCCTAGCTTCCTCCTTGATAAGCCTGTTTCCAGATTCTTAAACAAATACACACCACAACTGAGCTTAAAAAAAAAAAAAAAAAAAAAGGATAAAAGAAAAGGCATACAAATATACAGATGTAAATAATGTGAATGTTCCTGTGAGAAGCCTAAAGACTACCAAGTCTGGAGAAGAGGCTCTCAAATTGAGATTCAAAGCTGCCTGACTTCTCACCCAAGGGCACTGGAGATGAATCTGCCTCCTCCAAGGAGGAGGTGGCTCCTGTCCTGTCACAGCCCCCACTCCTACCAGAGTGTCACAGGCAGGACCCCAGCAATGCTCCCCACTGAGGTCACAGTGAGCTCACAGCCAGCACGAGCAAGGAACAGTAAATTACAATGTCTGATTCACCCACATCCTCCTTAGACTTGCAGGAACTATGAGAAGAAAAAAGCAGGAGAAAGCTACATTTCACTCCTCAGGCTGGAAAATTGATTTCAGGTGTACCAGAAACAACAAGTTTTGCAGACTAAATGAAAACTGAAGAAAAAAGGATATCTTGAGGTGCCATAAATATTTAATATGGACGGAAAAAAAATATGTCCATTTCTACAGTTAAATAAAACTTTTAAAAAAATAGCTCAAACTTACAAACAAAACCATGTCACAATGAAACACGGAAACATCTAATTGAAAAAATGTTAAACCAAAACAATTTAACCTTTTTTCCTTGGTTCTTTAGCTTGAAAAATTCAGACCATTTCCAAATAAATTCTAAAAAAATTTTGGTTTACCCAAGGACAGCATTTTTATTTTCTTAGCAGTTATGCCAATGAAAACTTCAATATTGAGCCCCTGCCTAAAGAACATGCCACAGGCGCACTTGGAAAACTGTCTGCAAGAATTAATATATTTGCTTGAATTTTCACACCTGGCCTATGGATAAAGCAGTTCTATCTCTGAGAAGCTGTGGTGATAAATGTCAATTACTTTTATTGCTCTAAGCAATAAACAAACAAATCTAGTGCAGACAAGAAGAAATAAGGTCTCTCCATTATTACTCTCTTGTGTTTATACTGCCTTCTTTAAGTTAAAAACTTTTCCTTTTATCTAGACATTTAAAGATTCAAACTCACTCATGGTTATAAAAAGTTGGCCTGAATGGGATCACTAACACAGAAGTTATTTTCCTGCAAATATTACAGAAATTGCTCCAGAGTAGAAAATCTCTAACCAAGAGTGATCCTGGTGCTTTAAATATTCTATAGAAAACCTGACATCGTTATGTGACTATAAACAAAGCAGACCTTTCAAACAAAGTCACAAGATCATAAAGGATTGGAGGAAAGCAAAAGATATGCTTAGAGGCAAGGTTTCCACCAATCTAGGGAAATCTGTGTTGATCTAAAGAAATAAAAACTTGCGAAGAATTGTTCCAAAAGAGGATCCAACTCTGCAAAGTTCTTACAACAAAGCTTCCTCTTTTGTTGGAGTTTCTGGACATATTTATACTTCTACTCATAATTTCAGAAGTGTAGGCATATGCTTTCAAGTGTTATGCTAACAAAACCACTCTACAGGTAATTCCAAATCTGGGAGAGGGAAAAAACTATTTCCTTCTCTGTTGCATCTAGTTACAAGCTTATATATCTAACAAAAATATTTCAATTTCACCCTAGATGCATTCTTTATGACTTCTGTAGAGGCAACTTCACAATTCATCATAGAAGAACAGAAAGATCTAAAAAACGTGCACACATATGCATAATTGAAGCTTTCTACAGGGGTTTTAGTCAAGCCCTAAATGAAAACCAAATGAAGGAAAACCCAAAAAGATTCCATAAAATATGTGCAGTACACAGTTTCATTTTTCAGGAAACAGAATATTACTCCACATCGGTCACAACCACTGAATCCATAATCAGCAAAATCTCACCTGCTTCTCTCTGTCCTGTGAAAGAACCCAAGTCTGGTCAGAACACATTCAACTGAGTATCCAAATTTAAATTCAGCATTCAAAACATTACATGAGTTCCCATTGCATTTCCCATCTCTAGCATTCCCAGAAGAAGAACTCCTTTACTGACACATATCCCTTTCAGGATAAATATAAAAAGGGAGGAAAGAAAAAGAGACTTAGATTTTCACCAAAAGACATCATGAGGCACAAACAGTGGCACCCAGCAGGCAGGCTGGGGAGGCTGTGCTCAGGTTAGTGTCGACGCTTTACTTACCCAAGAAAAGCGCGGTGCCAAGCACAACAGTGCCACTCACAAAGACACCGAGGGCGATCCGAGTGGCTTTGCTGGCTGCTCCCCTGGGCTCAGGGACTGTCTCTCCTTCCATCAGGATAGCCTGGGAGGTGCTTTCTCTCTCAGAAGTCTGGTTTTCCCCGGCTGCTGTTGTGTCAGTGTTTCAACTGTTCACCAACTGTGCCCATGAGCTCTCCTCCTCTTCTCTCCTATTTAAAACTCCTGGTTTTGGTCATGAACCATTCCTAGGCACTTCCTGCTCTCTCCCTCTCAAAGCAAAATCACATGTAAAATAAAAGCTGTCTCCTATGTTTTGCTCTGCCCAGGAGGAGGAAAGGCAAGCAGTGGCCACAGTTTGTGCAGCGCTTGCTGCCTGTAGAGCCTCTAAGAGCCAAGCGCTCAGCAGTTCCCCTTATCAGGGGTTCCGAACACGAGCATTTCACAACGTCGCCAAACAGATGTTTTAACTATTCAAAGAGCTGCACACCCTCTCCAATCAAAGCAGGATTGCTGACAACTTCTACAAACACAAGTCTGATGGAAGGTTTTTTTTTTCCTTTTTTGCACTTATTTAAAAAGACTAATTATCTGCTGACTAAAGTTTTCTCCTTTTAAACCATTGCTGCTGCATCATTTGGCTTCAGAAGAGGTACGCACTCAGCAGTCAAATCCCTTTTTAAAGCTTCCTAAGAACTCTTAGAATATCATGTAGCATTTTATTTCGGGAATTTGGTATGTGACACTGTGTGCCAAAAATCACAGTCAAGCAGCACAAAGCAATAATCAGCCAACCTACAGAAAAGTCCTGCTCTAAAAGCTAGATCTGTTTTTTTCTAGGCGAGATATTTCAGTCCTTGTGGGTACACAACACATTTTAAGAGATGATTCTATGCTTCCAAGTCAAGTACTACTATCAGCTTAGTGGAAAAGTATCAACTTGGTACTTTAAGATGGTGAGGGATTAAAAATAAAATCTTATATGGTTTTCTCAGTGGAGTAGACTTGATAGTCCTCTCTCCATGAAGCAAACTTTCTCCATTCATCAAGTAAAAAAATAGCCATTTCAGGGTGAATTCTCTGAGCTGAATGTGACAATCAGCCCTCTGAGGAGGGCGCCCTGAGGAGCTCTTCCTTTCTCAAGGGCTGGACTTACATACAAAACATAAGGATGCAGGGAGAGGCAGCACCATGCCCATGCTATCAAGAACAGTTTATGTTACTGAGTTACTTACTTTCATGGGGACTTAAAAGTCCTTATCCCAGCCCCCAACCATCCTGATAAAAAGTTGCACAAGCAGACAGAGAAGAAATGCATGTCACAAAATGTGCGTGATGGCAGTTACCAGCTTGGAGACTGAAAACTTTTTCCATGTGAGCACCTGCACACAAGTTGTCCTGGATGTCACATGGACATAGAGGGAAAGCCTAGTTTATCTAGAAGAAGACTTAGCATTTGAAGGTCTTGAAATCCTCACTTCTCATCCCCCTCTACTGCCTTTTTGGGGTCCTGCAAACAAAATGCCCTCAGTTCTTACTCCTGTCCCTCTTCACCAGCAAGCTCCAAGAGGGCACTCCCATCTCTGCTTGGTCCAGAACAGGAAAAAAAACATTTTCTCCTTTTCACCTGCCTATTATCCCACATATAACTCATGACTTTGACACCCATCAGCTGAGGCAGGAGCGGAAAATGATGCTGCAGAACCAGGAGGGCCACATGCCTCCCACTATAAAAATTCCCACTCGTGTGAAGGACTCCATGGGTGTGAGCAGATACCTGGTTATAAGAAATACTCAGCACAAGACTGTTACCAGCACAGGTTTGGGAATGCATTTGTGTGATGTTGGTGCAATTGAGTCCTCATATCAGAAATCACTATGATCTCAAAGGGGCTGCCAGAAGGGCAGGGTATTGACAGAAGATGCATGGACATTGTGTGATCTCAACACTTAAACCATTGTATCCATGATCCAAACACTGAGTAGACCTCAGAAGGACCCTTTGACAAGTATTTGCTGTTGGTTACCTAATGGTTTTTCTACTGAACCCCAACACTACAAATGCTGAGCTATTGGACCTTTATGTCCCCACAACCAATACTGAATTATCATATGCTTACTTTATCCCCCCATAATTTCTAAATTTCAGCTGCTTCCCCCTTGAGCAGTACTTGTATGTACTGAACATCATGCTCTATCACGTTTCACTAGCAGGATTTTGCTTTCATCGATTGTTGCACAATCATGAAGTCTTATAAAATAAGGCAAAGTCTTATAAAATAAGGGCCTTGTTACCCTCGTAAAACAATGGCTGAGGTCTGCTACTTAGGCTAAGTAGAAGGGAAAAATGGGAGAGTGACTTAGCTGGAATAGGGGTAGAGAGACGTGAAGCGACGTGAGAGCTGGGCTGCGCGACTGCCGCGTGTCCGCACCGCGCTGTTGGTGGTTGGTTGACTTGGGCTTGTTGTGCCTTAAAACTAGGTAAAGTGATAACCAGTTAACTGCTTAGAAAGGCCTGGTTTTTGCAATAAAGCAGGGCTCCTTTGCACTGCCTGGGGACTCTGCATCACTCTGCATCGTCACAATTGATCTCTTTCTAGGACAACATCAAGTCAGAAACTAAGAACAGTTTTCAACAGACAAAGCAGCAACCAGTTATTTCTCTTTGGAAATCTGTGTCAGGGGAGGAAGGAAAGGAAAGACAGGGAAGGAGCAGGGTGAAGCTGGACATTCATTCCCCTCTCCCAAACACAGGAAGTTGAGGAGTATGGGAACATGGAGCTACCCCAACAAAATCCAGCAAGCTCCAACTACAGGAGTCCTCTGGCAAATCAGCTCCAAGCAGCACCTAATCATTGTGGCAAGAAAAATCACAAATCAGCTGTCAGCAACAGAATGACTTTTCCATGTTTGGGTTTGTGGTCTTATTTACACTGTGGCATAAAGTGTCCTCTCTGCTGGCTGTAGAGCCTGCCTGCAGTCAATAACCCATCTTGGTTTCTCCAGCATGTAAAGAACTATAAAATTACAGCTAAACCATAAACAGCTGCAGGCAACAGCTGCAGAGGTCCACTTCTGGCAGTGTTTGAAAAGGTGCACAGAGCACATGTAAGTAAGTTCCTGATACTGATGATCTGTGACAGAAGCCTGTGGAATTTAATTCACATTTTTGATGAGAGTTCTAGGATTTGGTTGCCTTGCTCTTCTCAAGTCCAGCAGCTCTTTGGCAGGTACAGGACATATGGCCACACCTCCTGCTGGAACTGCTAACAGCACTCCTGGCCATTGCAGCCCAATAAGGCACTTAATGAGGCTATGCAAAGACTCTGCTAAACATTCATAAAACATTGAACAGAAACAGGGAACAAAAAATGCTACATGCTTCAAACCACACTTCATTCACTCAGAATTCCATCTCATCAAGATCCCACTCAAACAATAGGATTACTCTGGCACTTTTAACAAATTCAGGACAATGCACAAACAATTCTATCCATGGTCATATGCCAGAGCTGGCAAACCCTCTGGAACATGCTCTGGGCTGAGCCACATCAAGTGTCTCAGCCTCTAGGAAAGGTCTGTCTGTGAATATGTGTGTTTGTGTATGCACATAAACGTACACTCACAAACACACACGTGTGTGATATCCTGCTCTTCCACAGGCAGACACAATTCCTGCTTCTAGCCATTATGTCAGAGTCAGACGAGCACTTATCCGAGCTAAAATCAATAGGACCATGTCAGCTTCTCCTCACAGAGCTTGGCCCAAGAAAAATGAGGTTTAATTATTCAATTGATCAACAAAATTGCACATATTGCCCAGTTTTTACTGAACGGTCAAAACCAGTTGCATAGGTGTTGGTGAATGTCTGGAACAGCAAAACAGCCTGATGTCAGCACATGGCCAGCCCAACCTTGCTCAAAGAAATTGTGGGCAATGAGCCTAAGTACTGTAAAATAGTTCATCTTTCTAGCATTTAGATAACTTCAAAACGTATTAAAACAATCACTGATACTTTTTATACAAAGATAAAAAATTCCAGTTCCGTTCTAGATGTAAACCCCAATGTAAGACAGGTAAAACACAATAGGTTACACCAACACATGAGTTACATTGCCTCAGAGGACACTGTTCCCATGGTGCACATTAAAAACTTGCCCTACCTGGGAGGTGTCTAATGCACATTAGTGCAAGTACAGCTTAACAGAAGTAGTCCACAATCACAGTGTCACAGCTTTGGTGATGTACTATTGAGGATTTTTTGCCCATGGTAAAAGGAAAATACAGCCACCATCACACTGATGGAAGCAGAGACACCAGACACAATTTGAGTGGCTTCCTCATGGAAGCCACTCACATGAGTGAGGGGATTGAGCCTTTCAGTAGTATATTTGCAGATGACACTAAGCTGAGAGCGTGTGTCAATCTGTTGAAAGGTAGGAGGGTTCTGCAGAGAGACCTGGAACAGTTGGAGGGATGAGCAGAGTCTAACAAGATGAAGTTTACTAAGTCCAAGTGCCAAGTCCTGCATTTTGGCCAGAGTAATCCCCTGCAATGTTACAGGCTGGGGATGGTATGGCTGGACAGTGCCCAGGAGGAAAGGGACCTGGGGTACTGGCTGACAGCTGGCTGAACATGAGCCAGCAGTGTGCCCTGGTGGCCAAGAAGGCCAATGGCTCCTGGCCTGGATCAGGAATGGTGTGGCCAGCAGGAGCAGGGAGGTCATTCTTCCCTGTACTCGGCACTGGTGAGGCCACACTTGAGTGTTGTGTCCAGTTCTGGGGCCTCAGTTTGGGCAGGATGTTGGGACACCTGAGTGCATCCAGAGGAGGCAACAAGGGAACACAAGCCCTGTCAGGAATGACTGAGGGAGCTGGGGGTGTTTAGCCTGGAGAAAAGGAGACTCAGGGGTGGCCTTATCACTCTCTACAGCTCCCTGAAGGGTGGTTGCAGTCAGGTGGGGTTGGTCTCTTTCTCCAGGCAGCAACTGACAGAACTAGAGGTCACAGTCTTAAGCTGCATCAAGGGAAATATAGGTTGGATATTAGGAAAAACTTTTTCACAGAAAGAGTGACAAAGTACTGGAATGGTCTGCCCCGGGAGGTGGTGGAGTCACCATCCCTGGATGTGTTTAAAAAAAAGACTGCATGTGGCACTTGGTGCCATGGTTTAGTTGAGGTGTCAGGGAACGGGTTAGACTCGATGATCTTGAAGGTCTTTTCCAACCTTGTGATTCTGTGATTCTCATAGAAACAGAGGTATATGCTGGCTTCATTGAAAGAGATTAATTAGTATGGGTCAGAGTAAAGGCTGTATTCCATCCCATTTCAAGGGTTTCACCCTGGGCCTTGAACTGTTTTTTTGGACTATGCAGCTGTTGTAGCCAGAACTGGGCTTTACATACACAAAGCATACTCAAGAAAAGCCCAACATGTTGCATTTGAAGACAGCTTGACCAGTTGTCATCAGATTGCTGAATTTTATAAATTACACTCCCTTGGCCACAAAAGCTGCCAAATTTCTGTACAGCAGCCAACAGAAACCACACTCTGGCACTACTTCATGTCCTTTATTCATGGGACAAATACAGCTGGAAATAAATGACTCTATTGTTTTCCACTGGTCCAGCCACATCACAGAAGGCCTCAGTGCATCTGTGAGAATGTGGATAATTAATTAGGAGTCAATACTGAGCCAACAGAATTTGCAGGGCTCTAAACAATGCTGGTGGCAAGCTTTTCCACTAACTGCAACTGTAAGATCACCCTGCAAAGCAGAAAACTTTGTTCTCTAACATTTAATACCCCCATTTTTTTTTTTTTTCCAGTTCCAAGTAAAC